AGTGGACACCTTCCCCATTCAGGTTTGTAGCTCCTCTGCTTTGGATTCCCTGGAGGACAGACGAGCGGAGCTTTTTGAAGGAGTCTACAACACCCAGTCCTGAGATTCCAGACCAGGCCTGTGAGCTGCTGCTCTCCTGACAGCAGGTGGAGCTGGGGCAGTCTGCAGAGGGGCTGTGAGTGGAGACGGGGCCCTTCCTGGAGTTAGAAAACAGTCTCATAATTCTGGAGGGCTTAGTCTCGGGCTGTGCTTTGAGTGGGTTGGACCAGGCAGAGGTGCTGATGCCATTAGATCCGTTTTCCTCAGTGTGAGGACCCACAGTCACTGGCTGGACCTGGGCGCCACATCCAGACAGCAGGTAGGGGGCGTTTCTGTCAGCGCTGCTCTGAAATGGATATAGGTCACTGAGGGGACGGCTGCGAATCACAGGCTCAGCTCTGGAGATGTGGACGGAAGAGTCTTCACTCATGGACAAGACTCTGTCCTTTTGATCAGCCTGAAAAACAAGAGCAGGGGTTTAATATAATACCCTTTAAAACACCTCAAGAACTTTCTGTGATTCACTACCCAGACAGTTGTTTGTTGACTGGGACAGAGCACACCTAGCCTTGCGCTAATTTCCATCTGTTGTCTCACAGTCGCTCTCACAAACACACAAACACACACTCGTACACCCTGAATTATTGTACTAGTTTTAGTGGTAGGGGAATACAAGGAAAACAGGAAATCCACGCAGCCACAGGGAGGACATGCAAAATCCTCACCAAAATGCCCCCCCCCCCCTCTTATGATTGATTCATTTATTTATTTATTCTATAGCAGAAATTATTAATACTCAACAGTTTCCTAAACTGAAATGTAAATTGACAAATCATATGGAGAATCCTATTTTCATCGTTAAACAAAATGAGAATTGGAATAAACCAGTACAGTAAAATCACCTCCCTTTACGATTCACACGTCGATGAATGAGGCATTTTGAGACACAAATAAAAGTGATAAAACAATAACGCCAACATCTTCATAGAGATGACTTGGTTGGTTTAAAATACTTATTTCATTCTGCAGTCATTGATGAGTCATAAAACCTCTTCTCAGCGTGTCAAAATGTATGGAAAGGTTGAGTTTCCTATTAATTCGCTGTGATTAATAATTTTCTCACTTTCTTATAAATTGCCGAAGATTCTCAATAGGGTGAAGATGTGACAAAGAGGTGACCAAACCATGTTTTCTCTAAATAATATAGAAGCATTCTGCAAGACACCTCCAGTGTCCATGTACAGTCACTGTATATACCGAGCAAATGAAAAAAATAGTAGAAATGAAAATAGGCCGATTAAATAAATGATGTGGCAGTTGTCCTTGGTGCTTTAGTTCAATGTCAGAGGCCCCATTAGGGCCGTGTCGGTGTGGGATTCAGTGCAGTGACTGAAAGGAACTTTGAAGTGGAGCTTTGTGAGCGTGACTAAGCAGTGAAACCTGCTAATCCATTGTGATTAGTGGAATAATTTAACCTATTTCTTGTGAAAATATGTTGTTTGGGTTCCAACTTTTTTGCACATTAAACAAAATACTCTGCCTCTGAGTATAAATAGAAAAATAATGCAAAGGTTTCGGCTTCCTTTAGGATATACAACCATAAAAAAGCATCAGAGGACTACAAGGTTAAGAGCCAAAACGCTCAAATCAAAATCCCTTCTTTAATATCAACACAACTGCTCAAAACAATGGTTAAGTTAATCTTTAAATGGGACAATATTCTACTCAAACATTCCACTGAGTACTACACACAGCCTGACGATAGCCATGTGGAAAGGCGTCAGAATGAGTTGGGAGTCAGGCTGGGAGCAGCAGATGGGCTTTCTCCGTCAGTCTCTGGAATCTGCTGTCAGCTCAAGCAGCCTCTCCATCACAGGGACTTTATGTAAACAGAGCCACCACTGCCAAGCACGGCCGCTGAAAGACAGTCAACACTGCTCACAACAATGTGCGGCTTTCACAGCCCTCTTATTGTCTTCCTCTGGTACACTCACCGCTGCAGCTGCTAGGCCTCACAGAAGAACTGGGAAAAGATGGGATCATCAATCGTTCCATCACAAAGTTTGGAGAAATGGAAAGAATTCCAAAAGTTTCAAGAGTATGTTTTGTTTTGAATACTCAAACAAATATATCTGGCAGCCAAAAACTGTGATCTGCTTCTGCACCTTTCCATAGACTCACCAGGGCGCCAACTGTCACAGTGCTAATACTTGGCACAGGGCTCGTGCAGGTGGTGACCAGAGAACATGAGGTGAACCATGTCAGGTAACTAAGCAGTACAATGTCAGGTAACATAGAAGTACTAGCTTCTTTGCCTTATTAATAAGAATCTTCTAGAACAAAAAGGGACACACACTCACTTTAACGTCTGCTTGTGAAAATGTTCTGGTGTTTGCTAGTGCTGCGTTTCCTTATGGTCAGCAGGACACAGAACATTAAAGCCTGGTCCAGAGTTAATTAAGAGCTCCAGCAGTCCCCCCACACAGCCAGAGCCAGGCGAGGATGAGACTCCCAGCACCGAGGATGGGCAAGTAACAACATCGAGATCCACAAACACGCAGACATAATCTATAACATGCACTCTCAAAACACATGTGCGACACGAGCATTCCTCTGGCTTCAAAAAAAACCCACACTCCATTGAAAGGGGAGGAATGTATTTAAATCATTTACTCCCTTCCTGTTTGGTTAGATCCCCAGGCACTTATGCAATAAGTAATAAATGCACAGTGCAAAGTGACCCTCTTCCCAAAGTTCACCTGTGCAGAGACATGTCCCGCCCCAAGGCAGGATAAAAGTAATTAGTCCACAATGAAGTCAGAATGAAATGAACAGACAAGGACAAGAGAGAGTTCCCATCATTGTTTTTACAAGCCAAATTCTGCCACAGACTGGCCTCAAGCAACAAACTTTTCTACAAAAAGTCACTTGAGCCTAGCTGCGTCTCAAACAACGGCTTGATTGATTAGTGCTCATCGGAAAACACATGTCAAGAAGAATGAACCCTATACTGAATAGTTTGCACCAATGTGTTTGTAATTTGGTTTGCACAAGTTGAGGGTAGAATCAGGCAACGTTTCGTAATACCAGAATGAATACAATAATTACGTATTTGTTTGGTACTAAACAACCAGCCCTCCCAAGATGATAAGAAATCAGTGTGTGACAAGTTTGCTTGTATACCTTAATAATCTGATTAAAGGAGCTCCACCAGTCCGTGTATGGGACTGTTTTCATCTACACATGATAGCCTAATCAGGGAGACAACCAGGCTATTGAGCTGCAGTGACACTCAAGCCTAGTTAACTCTCTTTGGGGAATTCAGCAATATGTGAACTCTGGATTTGACACACACACACAAATGAATGATCTCATGGCTACTATACGTATGCATAAACATGTTATACATATTTTCTGGATGAACAGAGCCATGAGCCGTAAGTAGTCCTCCTGGTCATGTTTCCTCAGGGAGGTGTCACGTTTGGCCTTGACCCAGTTCCTCATTTTTGATCACTCATAAGCAGGGAGCAGGGGGGCTCTCTGCTATAAAGCGTGGGAAGCCCAGGTACAGACCAAAGCTGGGAGTGTCCCACTCACCCGATCTGCAGTGGGCTGTCATAGAGACAGACAACCAGAAATCCAACACCACCTTCACAAGATGGGACAAAACACTTCTGCCTTGGTTGGCAATGGCCAACTGTGGTTTGAAAGCTATGGTTCATAATACTGAAGACTAACACTATCAGTCAATAAGAGGTCCACACATAACCTGTCAGGATGTGGTTTTACATAGACTTGCGTTGGTGACAGAAGTGCAATAGTAGGAGCCATATTTCATATTCATATATTATGATGAACCCACAATATAAATATTAAACATGTTCTAAGCACTTAATTGTAACTCCTAAAGGACTAATATGCGTTTAAACCTTCTTATTGTAACCTCCTGACCAACTCCCTGCACAGCCTGGCATCTCCCACATCACTACAACAACCAGCAGCACAATGACCCTGGCCCCATTTACCGAGAACACAGCACTCTAGCATGACACTGTGGATAAGATAATTTCTGCTGCGCCTTTAGAATAAACAACATGACACTTACTCTGCTCATAGTCGCCCAAGACGTCTTCCTCACGTCTACCTGTCCTCTGCGTGATCAGAGCCGCTGCTTTTGCGCTCTTGTTGTTGATCCATAGTCAAGTCCTAAAACTCTAGCCCCAAGGAGCGAAGGTTTTCCAGACTCAGGTCCCGCAGAATCATTCTAGTCACGGCAGATGAAAACAAACGCGTCTCCTAGTTTCGCCTCAACATAAAGAAACAAATGGAGGTCCTTGGACTCTGCGTTAGCCACTTAGCACGGCTCTGATGAACTCCTCCAGAGAAACACTGCGTGAGGGAAAAACAACTTCAAAAACATCAGGAATGTTGAGAATTAGTAATTAAAAATAAAGAGTAAAATAAATGTAGAGGGGAAAAGTTGTTGAACGCTTTAAAAGTAGATCTTTCTTCTCGATTTGAGCATCCCTAATGCACTTGTTGCAGTGTTTGCGCGGGGGCGGGGCTTATGTGGTCAGGCGTCAGGGCATTGGTCTACCGCAGAAAAACCATTCAATTAAGAGCCAATAATGATGACCTGGATCCAGTGAGCCCGCCCCCCGCAGACGCACTTCGTGAAGGGAATAAAGTGCAGCCTGTGGCTCTGTGGCAGACACAAAAGACTGGCCCTTCCAGATGCCGCTGCAGCTTCCTTCTGTACCATACCATACCAAACAATTACTCACAAAGTATTTGCTGTGTTCTGCCCATCCCTGAATACCAGAAGAACACTCTGGTATCAAGGCTGAAACTACTTTCTCTTTACTCGTGGCTGTCAGGAAAGTAAACAGGCGTACACATAATAAATTAAAGCCCATAAAAAAGAATTTCACAAATTCAAATTGTCAGAAAAAAATGACCATTTATTCATCTGCAAAAATCAAGAACCCAGAGAAAGTTGTGTCATCGTCTTCATCAGCAAATAGCCCATTGAAGAGTTCCCCTCCAGCCACCTGCAGCCACACCTTATCCCCGGCCTCTAAGTGCAGCACAGCGCCACCTGCTGCCTGGTCCTCGCTGCTCTGGTAGTTATCCGTTGTATGGATGATCTTAGCCCCATTCTTCACAAGAGCCACTTTCACATTCCTGGAGTAAACAGTGATGTGGTAGGTGAAGTAGTATGCTCCTCTGACAGAGCATGAGAATCTCCCCGTCTGTGGGTCATAGTGACTCTGTACATTGTAAATAATCTTGTCAAACCGGATGGGTGCATTGACGGCTGGGAGTTTAGTTTGAGCAGAGAGTCCCACAGAAAAGGCACTTTTAAAGATGGCAAATGCGTCTCCTTTTTCACCCTTATCACCCCTATCTCCCCGTGATCCTCTCTCCCCACGATAGCCAATGTTGCCTTTGTGTCCAGGAACCCCAATTTCCCCTTTGGGCCCAGGACGACCAGGAGGGCCCAGGGGGCCCTGAATGCCACGGTCCCCCCTCAGCCCAATCTCTCCTTTGGGACCCTCTGGTCCTGGGGCTCCCAGGGCCCCGGTAGGACCCGGTGGCCCAAGCAGTCCAATCTCCCCCTGGTCTCCTTTAAGGCCCATAGGCCCCTGGACCCCCTGGGGGCCCATTTTTCCCGGAGGCCCTCTTTCTCCATTGTCTCCTCTTTTACCTTTGAGCCCAGCTGGACCGACTGCCCCTATGAATGGAATAATTATGCACAATATTACACATACTTTTTATAAATGTGTGATATACACATAATAATTACCAGTGTCTCCTTTGTCGCCTTTCTGGCCATCGATCCCTGGAGATCCAACGGAACCAGGTTCTCCTATAAATACATCCAATAAAGTCTTTGAAGACAATAGTTATAAATGTCAATGATTAAGACTTACCTCGGTCTCCTTTCACGCCTGTGAGTCCATCCCGGCCGTCTCTTCCGGGCATCCCATTGTGCCCTGGGTCTCCTGGTATCCCGGGATATCCACAAATACAGCCTTTACTCTGCGTTTCTTCTTGTGCAACACTTGTGGTTGCTAGCATGAGTAAAACCAGCCTAACATAGAGTCTCAGATATAACATTTTGTTTTCCATAGTGTCATAAAGGTAATATTTTACTTTCCAGCATGTCCGTCAAAGAAATAAAAAGATAATGAAGCGCACTAACCCAAAACACACAACGTTAAAGAACTTGAAACAATGAGCTTTCCTCAAGGTAGTATTGCTGGTGGGCCGGGTTTTTGGGTTACTTATTTCTTGTGACCCTGCCAGTTACTCATCACCTGTGCTCTTGACGAAGCGTTAAGGTTAATATAAACCAAGAGGACATGCAAAAATCCACAGGTTTCAAAACTTGTCCAGAACAATGTTATTCTCACTATATGTTTTATTCACAAAGTGCAGCCTATATAAGAACAACACCTTTTTACGATTTATTTATTTATGTACACAGAGACACATTCATCAGTAATGAAAACAGCCTGACCAGCGTTATCATAAAAATCTGTTACCTGGGCGACTGTGCCATCATGTGCCCCTTTATTAAATTGTCCACATGAGTAGACAGAGAAGGGAGGGGCGTGCAGGAGAGGCCCCAGCATGAACCAGAGATAAGAGCAAATGCCTCACACAAACACAAACACACACAAAATGGGACATAGCACCACATGCTACGGATTGGTGTATAATTTAATGATCAGTAACAGTCAGAGTAACCACAGACATTTAAAATATATTCCAAAATATAACAATTAAGACACATAAGTGCATACTCAAACAGTATTTTTCCACATGATACATTTCAATACTGGTTGGCTACTGCACATAAATAAATACAAACTAATGTAAAAAATCTAGAACAAAAACAACACAACATGAGCTTAACGTCTGCAGCCGTAACAACTTCAGACAATCCAACAGTATCGGTCACAGGGATTAAACATTTGTGTAACCTGTAGAACACAAAGCATGCCATGGCTTTTAATAGAAAAATGTGTCTGTGGGTAAACAAAGCTAGAAAGGAACATTGTATGGAGTAAATTCACTGACATCTTTTTTGTAAAAAAAAGAAAAGAGAAAAAAAGCAGCAATTCCAGGGAGGTTGAGGTTAGCATAGTGAGAAGAAGGCTTTGGGGCTACAACACTTGTGATATTAGTAAAAATAAGCGCTAGAAGCAGAGCAGTTAAATAAGATTAGGTAGTCAGTGGTCTTAGGTCTACATTATCTGCCGGTGCATTCCATAGCCCGTCATACCAGACTGAGAAGCGCCACGGTTGCTCCCCATCTGCAGTCCGATCAAGCTCTGTCCCTGACGAAGCTGCTCCTCCGTGAACTCCCGCTTGTTGCCTTGAGATTTCCTATACACAAAAAGTGAAAGAAAATATGAAAATAAATGTAAGGATATTTATAGACATCTTCAGACATTGGTTCTCCCACACCTTTGGATCAATGGCTAATTGTTTGGTTCTGTTTTGCTAGATCCTCCGAGACGACTGCTGTTGCAATTCAGAGCTACACAAATGGAATTGAATTTATTTGTGTTCTTATCATCTCTGAATGCAACTATCAACTGTCAGTTTTTAGTCATTATTTATTGTTTATTAGTTACCAAAACTTTAACTCTTTCAATGTTCTAAGCTATTCGCAAATTATATGAATTTATATAACTACTTTCCATTTCATTCCACATCAGTTTCATATTGAGGCCTTTCACACAAAGTACACCGATTTCAAAACTGCAGATAAAAAAGATAAAAACTGCCTGTCTATCTTTCCCTGAGCCTCTCCAGAGATCTGGGGCCGTATTCCTAAAGATTCTTACTGCTAAAAGTTGCTCCTAGTGGCCAAATTCTAAGAATTTTCTTAGAATCTTGACCAACTCTTAGAATTTCCCCTAAAAGTGAGGAGTAGCTCCTAGTTAAGATAAAAGCTATTCCTAAAAAATCCTAGCTCTTAAGAGTGCTCTTAAGGGGAGATCCCTTAAGAGTTGAGAGGTGGACTTTTAGCGACTTAAAAGTTCCCTAAGAGCACAAAATGGTGGACGGTGGAGACAGGAGAAATATTCTATACACTGGATGACAGTGAATCAGTGAAACGCTACAGATTCAAGCAGGAATCATGTTTGTGGTATATTTAAAAGTCAATCATGTGACCAGCTTCTTATAGGCTGGTCAGCAATAACACCTCATCCATTTTACCTTTGTTACACAAAAGTAAGTAGAAATGGTAAAAGTTGAAAGAGAGGAAAAAGTGGTCCTAAATTGTCACACATTCAGTACGAATGAATGAATACTTTATTTTGAGCCATGGCAAACAAGAAAAAAAAGGACAAAACAAACAAAACAACAACAGAATAGAAGTACAAATATACAGTTTTGTTTTATTAACAACAATCCAGCTCAAAAAGGAGTGGGAGAGGATAAGACTTTTAAGCTCCCTTGTACTTGATTTGTACAGTGTATGTATAATATGTTTATATTAATATTGTTTCCTTAATTCCTTATAAGTCTATACATATCACAGCCTTTACTAATCCTAACGTTATCATTATCATCATTTATCCATATAATATTTATAATAATAATTTTCTTTATCATGTATATTATATATAGAGTAATATTTAAATTATATGTATATATATATATATATATATATATATATATATATATATAAAATTATAAGTGCTCATGATATATACGTATTATGTGTGATAAATTGGTGCTGAGCAAGCTCTGATGATGGTGTATAAGTCTAACTTTACTATTCACAGTATTTATGTACCATTGATATCTGACTTTATAGCTTATGGTTATTATTTACAATAACACAGTGTTCCTAAGATTAGATTCCATGATTGAGTTTGTCCATTTTAGGGCCCTTATTTTGCCTATTATCATCAAAAATATGTTTGTTCTAACTTTTAGGATCAACCAATCACAGCGTCTGAAATGATGACTCATACCTAGCAACGGGGTCGGCCACGCCTCCTCACTAAGATAAAAGTTGTTGTCAATTCCTTGCTCAGAGTTCTCTAAGAGTGTTCTGGAATAACTTTTAAGCTAAGACTCCTAGCTAGGAGTTTTTAGGTTAAGATAAGAGCTCTCTGAGAGGACTCTCAGAATCTTTAGGAATACGGCCCCTGACCTATACCATGACTTGAAAAGGCAAGTTTTATCAAGGGAAGCAAGGTTAAGCAATATGAATTTCTACCAGTAGGCAGCATTTACCCCTCCAGAAAAACACATATGGGCACGTTTGAGTCTGCATGAATGCCTACAGTTCAAATAGCCTGTTGATTCATAGCAGAAATCTACGAAGGTTTGATATTTCTGTGACATATGATATGTCAAGGCACTGAGACAAGAGCCAGACAAAGTCAGAAAGAGCTGCATATATAGCTACAATAAAAAGTTGAAAAAAAACCAAAACAGTATTATGAAGAAATTTCCCACGACTTTAAATATAGGATAATGTTTGAGCTTATCTGCTAATTATAAAAAAACAGTTCACTGATAAAATAGACCTGAGACGCGTCACATGTCACGTATTCTTTATCACCCTGCCTTGTCATGAGCAACAGACTGCAAACGGTGTGGCTTTCATTACTGTATTATTACATGTATTCACTCTAAGATTCTAAGAAGCTGGAGGAATTCTTGTCAACATGACCAACTAATAGGGACCGGTGCATTGCGAATTGGGTGGCAGCTCTGATGGCCAACCCCCTGACCAAGAAATTAATGAAAATGAAATGAAATGACCAACTACATGCACTGCAGACTTACTTGTGAAACCAGTCGTGATCTCCTTTGTATTGTCCATCATCTTTGGTCACAGCCAAACTCCCAAGGGCCATCAGTGTCCTTTGCACTGCAGCCAGATCCTTTCCTAAAAAACATATATCAAATCATATAAATTAAGATAAGATTTTTCTTCCTCCCACTCCTTTTCAAGTTTGAATAATGTACAATATTGTTTTAAATAATTGTATTTGAATGATTTGCAAGAAAATTCTATGAACTGACATTTGATAATTAAGGTTTGATGTACATTGAACTCGAAATAAAAAAAACTCTCTTTCTTCTTCCCTCTCTCCCTCCCTCCCTCCCTCCCTCACTCCCTCACTCATACAGTCACATCAATCTCGAAGAAGTGAATGGATGAACACTGTAGCATCACCTTCCCATAGATCCACAGTTTGAAAGATGTCTGTTGTGGTCACACCGTACGCTTCAGCTGCCTGCAGGAACTGGGATATTTTCTCCATTTGTTTGAAGGCCATCTGCGTCTCTGGGATCTTTTTGATAGGCTCACTCCCTCTTGGATAAAGGCTGTTGATGACTCTGCACAGGATCTGGCACAAGGCAAAGAAATACGCAGGCCTGATTTCATTAAGCTGACGCATTGACCAAAGCAAAACGACACAGCATTCTTAAAGGCAGACGCTCAAAGGCAACTAAGAGAAGCGTGGTTTTAAAAGGCACGAAACAGCGTAAAACAAGGTGCTATTGTCAATGAAAGACAAGCAGCTTTAATAGCAGCTCCCAGTATTTACTGCTATTGTAATTCATGCAGTTATATGACAGAAATTACATCATACATTGTGAGTGACTTGAAGAAGTTTGACCCTAATTTGAAATTGAGCCTTGTTTAGTCCTGACAGTCTTTGACTCTGGTCCATACGAGAGCTGGTAGCCCAAGTCTAAATTGTTGAAATTGTGAGTCAGATTTACATGATTGGTTAGTCTATCTTAATTTAGGTATTAAGTGGAACATTGTATGTGGAGATATACTGCGATCTGTACAGTTACTGCAATATTTCCTTTTAACAAATTTAAATTGCGTTGTATATTAAATATTTCAGGATCTAAGCTCTTAAAAGTGGTATATACTTAAAGTCCATGTGCTGAAACCAACTCACTGTTCCATCCATCAGCCACTGTTGGAAGTTCAGTCTGCCCGGCTGTGGCTTGTCCAAGTCCCCCCCACACTGAGCCATGATCCAATCCACCAGTTTTTGCTCGAGATCCGGATCGTACTTCTGGTCGATTTTCTCTTGCACTTCTTTGCTCAGTCCATAACTGGGCCCTCTGTTCGCCATGACAACCCTCTACCTGTTACACACAATAGTCCTGTAAGCAAAGACATAAGAGTGGAGCATCATTATCATTATACATATATATAAACATATACACAAATTGGACCAGGAGCATCTGCAGACAAGGGTGGGGTCCCTGGAAGCTGTCCCACACAAGACACACCCTCTATTGCTATAGTAACCAATGTCCAATCCAATGTGCAGAGTGCAATGATGGATGGTAGGATGTTGGATGATGCTGAAAGTATGACCTCCAGTGGAAAGTCATGACGTGAATTAAATCATATAATAGTCCCATTGTAACTCTAATCCAATTTATTACAAGTTTCATATTTCAAAACCTAAGTGATACAGACTGTTCTATACTTAGCTTGCACTGCTATAGGCTAATCACTGATTATATTAAAGTTAAAAGACACAAGCTGCTTTCACTGTACTGACTTTGTGAGGGGTCCGGTCAGAGAATCCTGACATCATTTAAATACGGTACAATAATGCACAATGAAAACATTAGGCATCTTGCAAAATTCAAAAACGGATATGTTGAAACGATCGATGATAACTGCGTAAAAGGCTTGCCCTGGCTGCGACACTGCGTCACGAAGTCCATCATTAACATAGGTCAAAATATGAAACACGCATATGTTGAAAGTCTACAGCCTACCTCTGGAAAGATGTCCCGTCACTGCTTCAGGAAGAGTCTCCTCTGCGCGGGACAGGGATGAGGATGCTCTGCTGAAGCATCCATGGGACACGCCGAGCGGTTTGTCCGGGAGGGGCCAGACTTGCGCTTTATATGTCCCAGTCCGCAAGAGGTCCCCAGAGCTGGACCAGCGCTCAGCGAGATGCGAGGCCTATATACGCAGACACGGCAGCATCGATCTTTGATGACATGTGACATTTGTGGCCTAATATGGAGACCACCCACAAATTATATAACCTTGTGTATTTAAATGTACAATTACAGCTGGATAACACTCAATATACGCATAGTAAACACTACCTCTTGGTTTGTACGTTATATTTCATCATGTGCATCTTGTTGACTGTTCACATTTACAAAAAGAACATTAGTCTTCGATATGCACTGACCTTTTGTACCACATCTTGTATGTCACACGGTGCTATGCAGTCCTATAAATGTCTGAAATTGGTGTGACCCAAAGATCACACACTGCATGGATCATGAGTTGAAGGTCGCTGCAGTAGTTATGTGGACCTGACCTAACTGAATGCTTTCGACTCATTGAGCAGTCACACTTTTAGTCAATTACTTGTTAACCATCCACAGTCCATAGTCATGTTCAGTAGGCATTTGTCTAGCATGATTCCACACAACACATGTTCAATATTGAACTTATATCTTGGTATATAAGGTTAACCAAGTTTGACTTTAAGAAGCCCGAGTTGCCACATACATGTATTTGTTTGAGTGTGCAGAGCATTTATTGGCCAAACAGATTAAAAGGCACAGAAAACCAATTCTAGTTAAAACAGAATAAAATCTGAAAAAAAAAAAAAGAAAACATTTGAAACACGGGGCATGAGCAGACCAAGTAAAAGCGTATCAACACAACACTCTGGTGTCTAGAATTACATATAGATACAAACGGCAAAACTGAGTGCGAGGGGCAAGATCCTTTTCTGTAACATTGATAAAAGGGTAAACAGAGGGGTACTGGTCATATTTGGTAGAGAAAGTTGCTGTCGTGTTTGATTATTCCCTCAGGGCTGCATTCACAGTAATCACAGTCCTTCACCGCCACAGCCCACAGGCTGACTCTTAAACCATTGTGGTTAGCTTGTCTATGAGATCATCAATGGTGTAGACCATTAGCTTGATGTCATCCTTTTCCGACATACGATGTTGGCCCTGTCGCCTTAGAATAACATCTACATCAGGACTGAGGATCCGCTCGGCCACCTGCATGGAGATGTGCCAGGGGACATCCTCATCTTTGAGCCCGTGAATCAGACGGACAGGGCAGGTGATGGGGATGGGGCTCTGGAGAACACAGTGATTTTCTGCCTCACGTAGAAAGTCCATGTTAAACTTATAAAAGCCCTCCTCTGAGTGTTTTGTCGGTACCATCCACTCTCCTTTTTCTTCAAACTCTTTTCGTGTCTATGCATTATAAAAAAGACAAGTTAATACCATATCTACATTTAGATGTACAAGTAATCCACTTTTGTTCAAGTCATTGTGTCTCACCTCCAGTGGAAGAGAGTTAAATGAAGTCACAATTTGGTCAGCAGCAGTGGAGATACCCACAAGAGCAGCAGTTTTCTCTGGACGAGCAATCGCGGCCAGCAACATCAGCCATCCTCCTATACTAGAACCTACAAGTATCTGTGGAAAGAACAGAGTATTATGATTAAATACAATACCATGAGGTGGTAATCAGTTAGGGTGTGCTGCCACCCTCAGGACACAGTGGGCAACAGCAGGAGTATTACTTGAAGGAATACATGTTTAAGTGATCTTTTGTTGCTTCTTTTCTCCAGACTTTTTTTTTTTCCCCAGAAGAAAAGTCTGACTGAAATGCTTTAGGAGCAGAGGAATTTTCATAAATATGCTGTATACTAGTGATGGGTCCAGCAACACTGATACACCGGCGCATGTGCCGAGTTCGTTTAGCGAACCCCGTATCGGCGCGCGTGTCGCTTTAAGAAAAAGCCACGTGACCGATACAGATGCTGTATCGCTTGTCACCGACGCGGCAAACTGTTTAAAAGGTTCCGCATCTGCAAGTGTCACCGGGATGAATCTCTCTCAGAAAAAGATTGCAACCCTATCAAAAAGAAAAAACATCCCTTTCCCCAGCGTCAAAATGGAACCTGCCACTAAAAGAAAATATTCTGCAGTGTGGGATCATTTTGAGTTAACAGCAAATAAGGTAATGTTTGCATTTCATGTTTCACGTGTTATCTACAATGAATATTTAATTTCATGCAGGTCAAATGTCGCATTTGTTCTTCTGAACTTGCATATATAAATAAAACCACGTCCTCAATGCTCAGGCATTTTAGGACGAAGCATGAGCGTGATTTAAATACACCCAGCATTAACGAAGGTATACAGATATTGAACGACTTCTTCATGGTTGTATTATTATGTCACACCAGCATCTAGGAAGAATGCTTTGGACCAGGCAGTCCTGGATTTGGTCGTGAAGGAGTGCCTGCCCCTCAGCATTGTGGAGAGTGAGGGGCTTAAGGACCTCATTCGGCTGCTTGATCCTTCATACACTTTGCCATCTAGAAAAGTTTGTATAGAAAAATTTGCTGATATTACTTATGCAATATCCTGAGTAATAACTTATGTAATATAAGGGTACAACGATAACTAAATGTACACCAGCACGAGGTGCATGCCACAACAACCAAAATATTGTTTCTCAAATGGTTCATCAATTAGTATGTGTATTTAACCACAAATTCACTTTAATGCTACATTTCTTTTTCACAGCAAAGTACAGTGGTATTTACTCACAAAATAGAAAAATGTGTAATTTCCTTTATCATCTATTGGTTGTTCAAAATTACACACAATACAGAGAACACCATATTGCTGGATGTTTTCTTGCTTTTATGACAAATGGTCTGATTCATCTAATATTGATATGATTGTCATTTTCAGACTCTCAAGGAAAAACTTGCCGAAAAACACGCGGAGGAACTGGAACGAGTTAAGTCGAAAGTCCAGCAAGCTGTGGCAGTGAGCATCACATGTGGACCTCCTGTAACATGGAGGCATACATGGCACTTACATGTCACTACATCACTGAAAATATGCAGTTGTGTACATCTGTGATGGGAGTGAGACACTTTCCATTAAGTCACACTGCTGACAATTTGGCCCAGTTCAAAAGGAGCATTCTGGATGACTGGGCTGTAACAAATAAGGTGAGGTGTCTTGTGACCGACGCAGCACCAAACATGATTGCAGCAGCCAGAACACTCCAAATTCGCCATTCAGTTTGCATTGCACATAAATTACATTTAATCGTGAAGAAATCCTGTGATCAAATCCCTGAACTTTCAGCCATCAGACACAAATCTAGACAAATTGTAAAATTTTTCAGATCCAGCACCACAGCCAAAGAAAAGCTTGCTCAAGTGCAACAGCAGATGGGACGGCCAGTCCTGAAACTTATTAACGAGGTACCAACACGGTGGAACAGCACTTATCAGATGCTGTCACGGCTACATGAGAAAGAACCAGTGTGGGTGTCTCTGGCCTCTCTTCAGACAGACTTGACTCCACTCACGGCTGAGGAGTACAAAATCTTAAAGGAGACACTTCTTGTGCTAGCTCCTTTCCATCAGGCCACAGTGGAGTTGTCTGAGGAGAAGAGAGTTTCAGGATCAAAGGTCATCCCGATGATGAAAATGCTGTACTGTGCACTTGAGCGTCATTCAACACATTTACACACACAAACAGCCATAAATCTCCATCAGCATCTTAAGCGTCGTGTCACAGAAGCGTCATCTCAACTGGAGACATTAAGTGTATTGACCCTCTCCACACTGCTGGACCCAAGATTTAAATCACTCGGGTTTCGCAGTTCCTCCAAGTGCAATGAGGCAATTATGCGCCTGAAAAATGAGTGCTGCAGTAATTGCTCGCAGTACATCTGAGCAACAGCCTGGACCCTCAGAGTCACCAACTTCAGGCAGTGTTTTCATCTCATTTGTGCATTGATCTTGTTGTTATTATGTACCAGATGATAAAGACTGACATTCCATTGTGTTTATTTAATTTCAGACAACTTGTGGCAGGATCTGGATGTGGAGGTTGGGAGACAGACTACAAATGCAACAGCTGACTCCATCATTGAGGTCCAGCGCTACTTGGGGCAGGGAAACATTACGCATTCAGAGGATCCATTGACCTATTGGGGGAACCAGAGAAACACTTATCCCAACCTTTTTCAGTTATCACAATTTTTATGTACCCCGGCTTCATCTGTGCCATGTGAGCGTGTATTTTCTAAAGCTGGGGAAATAGTGTCAAAAAAAAGAAATAAGCATGTCCAAAGTCTTGCCGTGGAGCCTATTTTTTTGAATAAAAATATATAAAACACTCAAGTGACATTTTTCTTGAAAAATACTTTCACAACTATCACTTTAATTTTCACATAAAATGTCAAATAATACCATTTGACATTTGCAGTAACGTAATATTGTCCACATACAATATGTAAAGGTCATTGAATCAGTGAGTTGGATGCAATGATTTATAAGATCCACCAGTCAGTATAGAGCAGCACAAGCAACACTGTTGCGGCACAGTATCAATACAGTTTGTTGGATGTGCCGAAACAATACGTGAGGTTTCATTTACCCATCACTACTGTATACCAGTAAACCCACTTGTCAAACCCTGATTTAGTCAGATCTTTGAAGCCAAACAAGATGGGGCCTGGTTAGTACCAGGATGGATAGCAGGTGGAACAGTGGGGTGGCGTGGCTCCAATCCACATTACATTACAATCTAGAGCATAATTTAGAAAAGCACAATACGAGACTCAAGCTGTCTAGTCACGTCCTTTTTTTAGATTTATAACAAATCTTCATAAATAAGGTTAAGAAATAAGTATTTTAACTTGAACGTCAAACATGGCACACCTCCCTACATGTTCTGACTCTAGAGGTCCCACACAGGCCTCATTTTTCGGCAAAATTATGCCATAACTGATAATTCGGACATGTGTCAAATGTGTTCATTTTTTAAACGTGATTAATGAAAACATTTGATTAACATGCGTTAACGCGATAATTTTGACAGCCCTGATTAAAACCTTCATTTAAACATTATTTATGTGTATTAATTGTGTGAACGTTTATCCACATCTGTGTGTGGATGTGCATCCATTATTGCCTCATCTATGGAAGTATGGAACAAGGGCGTGAAGTTGGGCACAATCCTGACTTCAGTATCTAAGTAAGGACAGTTATGGGCATCCTCCGTTTATGGACCAATGTGTTTTTATCATTGCATTTGCAGCGTCTCTGATCTGCGTTGGCTAATCGACAACTTTGAAAAGACCTCAGCGATAACTAAAATTGTGATTTAGGGCTAGACAAATAAAACATTTAATTTGATTGGATTGAAGGGTTGTTTGCTTTATGCGACCATAAAACTGATAAACGGTTTCATGTAAAGTAACAATACTCACCTGAGGACCTTCTACTAACTCATCCAATACAAATAGAACATCTTTTTTCCACGTGCCAATTGTTCCTTCTGCAAGCACACCTTCGGATGCCCCATGCCCTGTGTAATCAAACCTAAAAGGGAAAGAAGTGAACATGGTCATGGCCTTGAACTACATGATATACTTGTGTGGTTAAGTGTATTTAACCACACCTTTGATATGTTTGCACACTTCTCTCTTTTTGCACAATCTGAGTGACTCTGTGCCAAAAGTGACATGTACATTTCTCCAGTGTGAGATCAGTAAAGTCTATCTCATCTTTTTCTTGGATCAAGTTGTATTCATCCACCATCAGCTGTTTAACTGGGAAAGCTGAAAAATTATTGTTCGGTAGTTGAGAATAATCTCAATAGCACAAGGGTGTCAATTTTTTACAAAAGGAGCTGTGTGGCTACAGGTTTTTAAGCCAACCAAGCAGAGCACACCAGTCCAGTCTAAAGCTAATACTTGAGGAAATATAGCAGGTCCGGACCCCAAGACCCTTTTCTCTGGACCGCCGGGATTTTTTTTTTCCCTTTCAAAATGAAATGTTCTCCCCAAAAGAGATTTGTAAACAGGCAGGACTGAGGAGCTGTCAAATAACTTCAGTGGTGTCTGAAACCAATTAAGTCTAAGACGAGGAGAGAGACGGGAATGAGCGCAGTGTTCAGCTGCTAACACTGGCTGTGTTCACGTGATTCTGTGTGAAAAGGAGTGAGACATAAAAAAATATATATTTTGCATTAGCAAACAGTGTATGCCCAGCTTTAGTGCTCACTGCGAGTGCAGTGGATATTGGGCAAGCATAAAAAGCCGTATTGTGATCACTCTGATCACAACACGTATGGATGCGATGACAGAAAAGTTATATGGTGGTAAAGAAGGACTTCAACAAAAAAGTCCGCCAGATCCCCCACAATTAACATGTGCATGTGTTGCACCCTCTGCTCCGAGAGTTTAGGAGAGGTACGTGGGGTGTTGTGTAGAAATAAACAAAGGAGATCAATGTTATGTGTGAATTATAAACGCCTATATTTATATTATTTTCGTATAATTGTTACTACTCTAGTCGATGTTGTTGAAGGATTTCAACCATTTCATATGAAAGAAATTGCTTGAATGGATTTCTATGAAATCAAATATTTGTATGATGTCCGGACCTAAATCTATTGAACTGATCAAGTCAACCTCTTGCCAATTTAGTTGGGGACCCCTGGTATACGGTAAGGTTTACCAGTGATCCTCATGGGGCAATGTCTCTGAGAAAAGCACAGCAGCTGTTAGTGCCTGAGGATTCACCTCCTTGTCTTCAGGTTTAGCTAGGGTAGGACTATAGGGAAAAGGACACGGAAAGGCCCCAACCTGTCCAGGGGTTGAACTGTTCTGGTACTGAGCTCTGAGAATTAACCCCTCAGCCAGTGAGCTGCCATTTAATGTGACAATAACCAAAATCTTGACAACACTTCCCGTTTAAGTGCAAAGAATGTCTCACCTTAAACACGAATGACCTAGTGACCTGCAGAACTCCTCCAGTGCCTCCCCCTTTTGACCATTCATGTTAGAGCCATACCCAGGAAGAAAAACTACACCTGGGCTCTTTCCCTTCACTCTTCTATAGGCCAGTTTAGGGAGGTCTGGTCGTGAGGCATGTTGAACTGTGGACTTGTGTCTCCTGTCGACTGTGTGGCACAGAAAAAAGGTCTGTTACATAATGTACAATCCTCATGTGTTACACTTAAAAAGGAAATTACAATAAAAAATACATTGTATCAACAAAGTAAAACGTTACATTGACACGGAACAAAAACTGGACCATATTGCTAAAGTAGTTTGGGGGGGGGGGGCATAAATTGATATTTACATATGTTTATCACGATATTAACAATACAAATAATGCTTACAAACACTTGAACAGCGATAGAACCCACAGGCAAAAGATTTAGTAGATTACGCAAAGAGCGCACCAACATGCACTAAATGTACCACTCCTGTCTGTGCCAGTCCGTGCCACACCCCCCCCGAGGGGTTTATGGTCGTGTCAGGAGTAAGAATAGCCATGAAACAGCTCACAGCAACAGTAAAGAATAAGACAAACCTTTCAAGAGCGGTGTGGTCAGAGCTGACAAGCCTCCATTAGTGAAAATCTGTGAAAGTCCTCTGCGACAGGACCTCAGCGCCACGGCGGCCATGCTGCCTGGGACCCGCTGTGAAGTCTCGCGAGAGCGTCACGTCCCATCCGAGCTTTAGTAACGCACAGAGTACTAGAGTACATGGAGGTACACGAGTAGATCAACAGAATCATGGAGTACATGTGTACATGAGGACAGGTCTATGTCACTTTGCACAAAACACAATTCTTCACAAATGATCTGGCAGACACAGTGACTAGATTAGCATCAATTCCAACCGCAGTGAAAATCAGCTTTCATAAAACTGAAAATGAAATGAGTTACATTGATCCCATTGAAAGCGTATTTTGATTAAACAATATATTTGGTTGGGAATAGCTTAGTCATGTTCTTCGCGACAAAAACCTGTAGGGCATTTTACTTTGTATTGTTCAGAGTTTGTGAGTGTCAGACATAAAAGGGACACATCTCCAGCATCCCTTACAAAAAGGGCCTTGTTACGTGTATAAAGATAGGCAGGGAGGGTGTATTCTTAGCTGATGCTGTGTGTTTGTGACTGTCATGTGCAGTGGCGGTGTGTAACATGACTCACAGCGTCATAGGCGGAAGGTCACTGAGCAGCGGAACAGAACGGAAGCGGGAGTCCGCCATTGTGGACTATGGTTAGGGATATTTCATTTAAGCACTCGGCACTTTATCACTGACTCAAAGAAGCTGTCTGTGCCTGGAGCGGACACGGGACTGACGCCGTCTCCACCGACAGAACCGTGGTTTGGACGAGGCAGAAGACGCGCGTCGTCTCCAGCTCTGACCGCTAGAGGAAAGGAAAACACCCGTGAGAGAGAGCCCTCAGAGCACCGACACAGACCGGGACCGCAGAGATCCGTGAGTCTGGAGGATGTCTGCTACCACCGTGGACCAGGTTTGTGCCAGACACTGACACAGCGTGGATCAGCTGCGCGTCCACATCAAACTTTACTGACAACATCCACATATAGCAGCGGGTGGGATCACACAGACTGGTCTTATGTGGGCTGATATTAGTCCTAACGTGGGCCAATAAAGCCAGAACTAGCTTTGGATGGGGGTCAATGCGGCACAGATTACTGTATCATCCGGTCAGTAAGGTTCATGTTTAACACTGGATGCAGAGCTTGGTCCAGAGCTTGGTCCAGAGCTTGGTCCCGAACTTGGTCCAGAGCTTGGTCCAGAGCTTGGTCCAGAGCTTGGTCCAGAGCTTGGTCCAGAGCTTGGTCCAGAGCTTGGTCCAGAGCTTGGTCCAGAGCTTGGTCCAGAGCTTGGTCCAGAGCTTGGTCCAGAGCTTGGTCCAGAGCTTGGTCCAGAGCTTGGTCCAGAGCTTGGTCCAGAGCTGCTGACACACATCCACTAGCATGGAGCAGCTAACTGTGCTGGGGTTAATACTTACATGTTTTTCTCTCTCTCATGTTTACTTCTAGAGACCTAAAGGACAAGCAAATAAAGGTAACTTATTTTATCTCATAATGGCCCTCTGAATATCGTATTTATTATTTTTTATGCAAAGCATCTGTTAACCTGTTAATTGATGATGAATTGTTATCTAATATATTTAGGTAGCTGTGTCAATGCAGTGTGTTGCCACTCAGTTTGTTTAGACCTAGTTTAGATGGCAATCTTTTTTATTTTCTTTCAGTACAAAACGGATCAATGCATCAAAAGGATGGTGTGAACGATGACGACTTTGAACCTTACCTAAGTGGCCAGACAAATCAAGTAAGTTGTGCTTGACTTGGTGAGTCATAGTACACATTTATGTTCATGAAAGATTTGTTGAAATGAGTTTATCTTAAAGTACGTATTTCTCCATTCTTTCATTTTACAGAATAATAGCTATCCACCAATGTCTGATCCTTATATGCCTAGTTACTATGCTCCATCCATTGGTTTCCCCTATTCCCTGGGAGAAGCAGCTTGGTCCACAGCTGGAGATCCTCCAATGTCGTACCTAACTACGTATGGACAGATGAGCAATGGCGAGCCCCATTTTATACCTGATGGAGTGTTCAGCCAACCAGGAGCTCTTGGGAATACTCCTCCTTTTCTTGGTCAACATGGCTTCAACTTTTTTCCGGGAAATGCAGACTTTTCCACCTGGGGTACCAGCGTCTCTCAGGGTCAGTCCTCACAAAGTTCAGTATACAGTAACAGCTATGGATATGCCCCCAGTTCACTGGGTCGGGCCATCACCGATGGACAAGGAGGGTTTGGGAGTGACACTCCACTCAGTAAGGTGCCTGTGTTGAGCAGCATCGAGCAGGGTATGGCAGGGCTAAAACTGGGTACAGACATGGTGGCCGCAGTGACAAAAACTGTTGGTTCACCTTTAGGGGGAACCCCAGGCATGAGTAGTATGGCAGCAAACAACCTACCCCCGTCCATGAGCTCCTCTGCACCTAAGCCTGCCTCCTGGGCAGCTATTGCCAAGAAGCCTGCCAAACCACAACCTAAAGTCAAACCAAAAGCCAATATGGGTATGGTGGGAGGAGTCGCCATCCCTCCACCTCCCATTAAGCACAATATGAACATCGGGACTTGGGATGATAAGGGCTCCTTAAACAAGGCTCCATTAGCACAGGCAATGATGCCCACTCAGCAGCTGGTGCAGCAGCCACTCCTGGCCCAGCCCCCACCATTACTGCAGAACCCCCTGGCCCCTCAGCACCAACCACAGCACCAGACCTTTCAGCTGCAGTCGCTCCAGTCACCCCAACACCCCCTGCCCCCTGGTCCCCCGCACCTCCACATCCCCTCTCAAACAGGACCCCCTCAACACCTTCATCATCACCATCACCATCATCATCAGCCACCCTTGCAGCCTGGCCCACCCCCGAGTCGCTGGGTGGCTCCTAGGAACCGAGGCGATGGCTTCGGTTTTGGTGGGGGGGTCCCATTGAGTGCTTCTCCTTGCTCTGGAGAAGTGCATCCTGTTTTAGAGAAACTTCGGGCTCTCAACAACTTCAATCCCAAAGACTTTGACTGGAACTTGAAAAATGGACGTGTTTTCATTATCAAGAGCTATTCAGAAGATGACATCCATCGTTCCATCAAATACTCAATCTGGTGTAGTACAGAACATGGAAACAAGCGCCTGGATGGGGCCTACCGCTCCCTGGGCAGCAAGGGGCCGCTCTACTTGCTGTTTAGTGTCAATGGCAGTGGGCACTTTTGTGGCGTAGCCGAGATGTGCTCCTCTGTGGACTATAATGCCTATGCAGGTGTATGGTCTCAGGACAAATGGAAGGGCAAGTTTGAAGTGAAATGGATTTTCATTAAAGATGTGCCTAACAACCAACTGCGGCACATTCGACTAGAGAACAATGACAACAAGCCAGTGACCAACTCCAGGGACACACAAGAGGTGCCCCTGGAGAAGGCCAAACAAGTGCTAAAAATAATCTCCACTTACAAGCATACCACCTCAATCTTTGATGATTTTGCACATTATGAAAAACGTCAGGAAGAAGAGGAGGCTCTGAGGAAGGTGAGCTAAGCCACATGCACTGTATTCATTATTTAAAGTATTTTGTACAGCAAATGTAAATTCCACGGCTTCATTGTTTTAAGGTCAGCTGATCATGTTCAACCGGCTCTCTGTCAGGGGTTGCTCTCTCTCTGAAGCTAACAGCACTTCTCAGGGCATGTCAGCAGCAGATCAATTGAGCCAAAGCTGTTCAGGAAACCCAGATTTCTCTCATCATTCCTTACAAAGATGGTGATGATCAGCTCAAGTGGATTAGATGTAGAGCAGTTTCCTGAAATAGGCCACATTCCAGGCATTCCTACTTCCAGACAAAGGCAGATGCTGGCTCTGATCTCCCTTTGAACACCCAGCTCTCTGCCCTCCACAGCTCCTCATGCTTTATTAGTCTTTAACAACATAAGCCCCTCTGCAGCAAACAGGCTCCAGAGCTGTGTAGAGGTAGTTCTTTGTCTCCTGGTTTAAAATGTCTCCCAGATGAGCGTGATGTTTGTATCTTTTTTTTATTCATCACAACAGGATCTTCTGTAAGAGCCACAGAATGTTTTCGAGTATCAGAGTATGAATAGCTGCTTCAGAAACACACAGTAGTCGAGTGTTATCACCACTGCACTGTATGCCAATCTATTTTCATTTAGAAATCCCCTCGCTCCCCCACTGGTGACTCTCCATTGACGTTCAGTTCTCTCTCACCACTGACCTTGTTAATATGCGCTGGGTTACTTCTCATAAATATTTCAAGTCAGTGTTTTCAAGCTTCTGAAAACAACCTGTCAGTGGCGCGGCTGTTTTATCCTCGTAGTGCAGGCAGTGTGCTGTGCAGCTTTTGTTGCACTGACCTCCTACATGACAGGACCGGCCCAGCAGAGGCCTCGTCCTCCTCGGCCTGACAAGGTTAATTGTTCTGTTGTTTGGTTTGTCTTTCTTTCATTTGAGAGGTGTCAAGCCACAACATCTCCTTGCACTACAACATCTTTGATTCGTTTTTTAGAACCAGTCTTAATTTGTGTCCTATTTTTTTCATTCATATTTTTTTTACACACAATATCATTCATGATTTATGCAGATATTATAACTATAATGTTTTTTTTATGATGTTGGGTTACCTGGAACCTGTGGCTCTTTAGATGATTGTTTTGAGAGCCAGACACAATCATTCCTACGTGTTAATGCCTACTAAGATTTGTTTATTGGATTACTTCAGTATAAACAGACTAATATTACACTCTGAATGTGTTGATCTTGTTTTCAATAAATTGCACATATTCACAGTGAAAATGATGTGTATGGCTCCCACAGAAATACATTTAAAAGTATGAGACTTCTTTGGCTCTCGGCTAAGGTTACTCATCTCTGCTTTGTCTTGCACTGTTTCTCGAACTATGGTACCACATTTTTGACCATTACAGACATTGTAAAGTCTCATTTACTTGTTTAGACCCAATTTAGAACAAGAAAAGTCCATATTTATAAACACTTCCTGAGTGCAAAAAGGTGTGCCAAGTTTGAGAACCACCACAAAATCAGAAGAATGTTTATCTGTGTGTACCATTTTAGTAAGTGCACTGAAGAGTTTCATTCAGCTAAACATCATTTCAATTTCAACTAACAACATTTTAGTTGATAATATAAGAATCCTATAACGGTGATTAGTGATGCACACTGGAAATTGCTTTTAAGCCATTTGATAACTTGTATTGATGATTTAATTTTTTACTACTTACTCAATTGTGTAAAAGGGGAAACATTTTATAGGTGTATTGAGTCTGGCAAAAATGGCAGATAATCTCCACCCCTCTTGTTCTGTTATTGACTGTTTCCTGTGTCTGACTAGGAACGCAATAGAAGTAAACAGTAACCTCCAATCAAGTTTGTCTGCTGCATCTACAACACTAAAGATGATGGACTTTAAACTATATCTGCCCAACGTTGAAGACACAAGGCTTTTCACTGAAGAAGACAATATACCTGGTCACTTAGAAATGACATTAGATGAAATCATATCTGTTGATGAGTGTTTGTCTCACCTAAAGAAGAACGCAATGTCTTTTAATTCTGTCATTGAAGCACTTTGATGCGTTCTTAACAGTCTCAACTCTCAAACTGGTTTTTATTTGTTTGTGAGGAAACTGACTAACATGACTAGTCAGAATATGTCACCTGGCTAACATTTTTAAACGCCTCAATATTTTGGGATATAGCAGAGGGCCGTCTGCTCTTTCAGAGATTTATAGATAAAATGTATAATTGTTAGTACTTGAATCAGTATTCAGCTGCCTGGCCACCCTCAGTCTGTGGAAGATTGACACGTGGAAATTAACAGCCACAATTAATGCCAATCATAAAATGTAACCTCGCTGTATCCATTGGTTTTTGTCATTGTTTGTGTACTAAGAGTTCTGCAGCAGAATCCGAGATGATTGACCAGTTCTCACCTTTTAGTTTTCTTGTGATTCTGCCATGAAGTGCATTGTTTGAGGAGAAACTTGCTGCTTTGGTAGAGTTAGCAGTGGCCTAAGCCCTGTGGTTTGTTTCCACATCCATGTTATTGATAGGCTCTGTCTGTTTTTATCAACACAAGCACTTTTGGGTGAAGTCCCCACACACCTTTGTAAACCTCACTAGGTGGGATTCTCCCAAAACAGCAAGACATAATATATTGGGACAGTTTTCTCCTCAAGGTAATCACTAGCTAAATAAAAATAATTATTAGAGTAAATTTGTCTCTTTGATTTTATTAATGTATATTTTCATTTTCTAGAATGGTATCAAATTGTAAATCCATTTCTCATTAATAACGCCTCCGAATGATATCTGGGTGAACCCACAGAACCTGATAGATTCCAGTTTTGACCTAGCTGAAGACCAAGGACCGTCATGTACCGTCATTGTACATATGTGACCACTAGAGTGCGCCATTGTATCAGTAAATAGAATAACTCCCACTTATGTCTGCCTCCCCCTTTGAAACAGCGCAAAGCTCCTTCAGAATCAAAGCCCTCTTTCTACTGTAGCCCCAGTAGAAGCACAAATATAACGGGGTGAGAAGCACTTTTGTGTTTTCAAGACCATTCGTGCAATTAATGCGAGCCCACCAAGCTGTGCATTGAGAGGACGGGGGAGAGAGGTCCTCATTTGTGTTTGCCAAGGGGAAGAAAGGGCTGCAATTATAACTATAGCTCTGGATTGCAGCTTCTCTCCTCTGTGCTAATTTGTGCATCAGGTTTCACAAGCAACATTTGAAAAGGTTGCACTGCTTTCTTCTGTCAGTGAGTGAGTTGAAAATACATGTACATCACAATTTTGAAAACAATTGGCAGATTGTGCTGTTCAACTTGTCATTAAAACTGATAGATTTAAGTAAGGGACATCTGATGAGGTCTGGTTGCTTTGTGGATGTATTACAATAACGGCTTGCCTCGATTGCATGTCTTTTTGATTCATAATGAAACTCAGATAAATATATTCACTGTGATTCCAAGCCCACACAATTCTTTCATCCTGATCCAGGCGTACCATGTCATTAACAATACATGGTGGTTCAGTGTCAATTTGTCCAAACCCAGAGGAAATGCAAGACAAAGTTTTTCAGCTGTAATCCACATATCCTGATATGGGTGAGGCCAAGTGCAAGAGCAAGGAGTCATCTCTGCCTTTGATGTATTCAGATGGCACACTTATCAACAGCCCGCTCTAGGCAAGGTTAGGGCTCAGGGTTGACACTTCCTCCATGTTTCCAAGTTTTCTCACTGCGGGCCTTAATATAAAAATCACAAACATTAGCCTCATTGACATGTGTGGCATTGCACTGACACTGATCTTGATTAAGGCTTGCATCAAACATATTAAGTTTGTGTTGTATTCATTTATGTTAATTTGTATTCTGTAGGATCTGTACAGAGGGATTTTCTGAGGGTTCATTGGTAAGGTGTCTGTGTTGCCATGGTTATACCACCATGCGCGAAGAAGAAACTGAACATTTTGACAAAGGAAATTGACCTCTCAGCCTCTTGAGACTTCATCGCAGTTATGGAAAACTCAAGCTGGTGATTAACAGCTGCATAAGTCACATAATGATATGACCGTACATTAAATATACTTAAAATGTGTCTTACTTATACAATATACATGCATTAAGTTGCTAAAATCTGGATTGTCTATGTTCCCCACTAGATGACACTATAACCATCACCAGATCACTTCTAAGTACTAGTAATAGCCTCAACAAAAAATGCCATTCACATGTTTTACTGATGCACAAATAACATACCAACAGGTTTTTAAAGGCCTCTTATATTTCCCGAGCTAAAACAGTGGGCTACTCTCATATCTGAAGTGTTTTCTGTTGAGTTGTGTTGCAAACTGCAGAGTTTAATTGCCACTAAGAATAAAACTAAATAACTGCCCTCCAAGTTGGAAAAGCCTCCCCCTGGTGCCCATTGGATTACACTCATTAAGATAATAAAGTTAATGCACAAAGTAATGGAGTGGCTAAGTACTGTTTAAATTGAGAGATTATAGTCCAATTGTTGTTTTGCTATTTCTATTTTACCTTCACATATCGGGGCATTAATGTCATGAGCCAAAACATTATGACAGGCCAATATTTACCACTGTTTTCAATAGTGTATCACAGTATACACAAAAAACAGTATCTATTGTTTCGTATAACAATTACAATATTATAATGGACACTAAACTTAAAGATCTCTGGTTTCAATCTACTCAAATAGGCTCATGTTACTTGTATTGAAATAACTATTAGCAATGATGTGTTTTACACCCTGTACTATTCTTGTTGTGAATTAGTCAGCAGTCTATGAGAACACTGCTCGCATGTCTGCATTGGCTTACACACAAATGTTTATAATGCATATAAGCAGCCTTCTCAGCCATGGGGGATCATTTATGGCCCAGGGTCATTAATTACTCGTTGCAATGTTTCTGGGCAACAGCGAATCAGATCCCTGCATTTCCATTGGTGTTAGCTAGAAGCCTTTTTATGTACAGACTGAACATAAGAGTACTAACGTCAATTAATATGCTTTTCCTGACGTCCTTCGCCATGATTTATCCTCCAACAGAAGACGCCTTTGTCTCTTCAGCTCTATATTCATTTAAATTGACACAAAAGGCAGCAGGGTCTGTCTGTATTCTTGCAGATGTTATAAGCACACCTTACAGCGTTATTTATTCCAGAGCTTGAGAGCAGGTCATGCCCAGGCAGCCTCTGTTGGGTCAATCTACTATTTAATTCATGGCTTGAAGTCGAGAGAGAAGAAAAGGCTGAAATAATAATAATAGTGCGGCTTGGATGTATTGTGGATGGCAGGAGTCAGTAATATCTATTTAATACTATGCTGTAGCGGCCTCTTAGGACACATGCTTGGTTGGTGTTCATAATGAATCTATAGAGAAAATAATGGGGAAAATGTATTAGCTTCTACTATAGTTTATTGCTGGACAGGCTGTTTCTACCTGTGCCCAAGCCTTATTACATTCATTCAGTGTTTGGAAGGTGGCCCGCAAAGGTATGAGATGTTCCAACCGAGTTTTGGCATTGTGGGGGGTCAGTGGCAGAATGGAAAGCTCTGAAAAAGTAATGCATTTGAAATGAAAAGGTGGAATGAAATGTGACATTGGCCCACCACAGCTGAGGCCTGGAATGCACTGGTTATAGCGCAGCCAGGTCTGTAATGTGATGCTGGACCTTTTTGCCTCCCGCCACTTCCGGTTTCATCCTGATGGAGATTAAGGGCCATTAAAGGCTCTCTGCTGTATGTGCAGTTTCTATTGATCACATTGACTCGACCCACTGTAGCCAATGATCCGATTACAAGTGTTGTACCCTGTCTCCCCCTCCTCTCAGCCTCTTCTTCAGGCTCAAAACACTCACGTCCACCTATATATCCGCCATAGTGTCATAGTGCGCCCACTTCTCATCTTCAAACACAGCGGGTCTATGATCAACCTTATTTCTACTGCAGAGAAATGGATTGGCCATGCCCCAGCGAGTTAAAGGAGTTGAGACAGTCAGCATGGACACTCTCCCCCCCTGCCCCTCAAACCTCCCCCCTCTGCCTACAATAGTCAAACTGCCCTAGGGGAGCTCTCCAGCAGACCACTATAGTTATTAGCATTGACAGGGACTCACGGAAATCTGCACTGTTTCCACTGTACAGGAAGTCCCACTTTGCAGCTAATGTAAAAAGGGAAACCCATACAAATCAAGCTGCAACATTCTTACTTGAGGATTAGGTTTCTCAGTAACTTTCTCATATCAGATACAACATTCAATCCAACAGTCATGCTGCTAGTTGTCATCTAGTGAGGCCATGTTTTATCATAGATCATATACAGTACATTATTCTTTTGGTATGGATAGTAAAACACTTGCAAATAAAAATCTGCTGGCGCCAGTAGATTGGGACTGAAAAGAGGCTGTGGACCTGTTTGTATTGATTCAATAGAATGAGTATTAACCAAACTGTACATAACTGTGAGGGCTGATTGGATCTCGATCTTTTAACAATTATTTAAAACATCCTGAAAATGAACCCCCATAACAATTTGATTAACATTGTTTTAGGACTATTTTACTATTTAAGGGCCCTAATTTTAATTAATATACTTTTTACGACCCTGCCCTGCGGATACTCGGATTTCAAATGAATATGTTACAACTTAGTTCAACATCATTACAATTTTAGGTACTTCGCCAGAGGAAAGAAGGGGGTGCCTGAGTAAAAGCTCCATGGATCTGTGGAATAAAACCAAATGACAATGTTTTCAAGTGTAGCAATAGACAGAATCTAAAATGTTGACAGAATTGGGTCTGGATGCTGCTGCAGTCAAGTC